AAAAAAAAAAAAAAAAAAAAAAAAAAAAAAAAAAAAAAAAAAAAAAAAAAAAAAAAAAAGGAACGGTTGATAATTTTGTATCTTTAATTATGGTTGCACATTTATATTTTTTAAAACCTTTTTTTTTTAATTTAATTTTTGCCTCTATTATATATATATTTGCCTCTATTCTATGCATATTATCGATTTATCTAAATCTTAAATATTTAGTTGGTAGAAACAAATTTCTAACTATTATTATTTAATGTTTTATATGTCCTTCAATTTAAAAAAAAAATAATAATAAGTCAATAACTTATCAAATATAAAAAATTGATATTAATTTTTTTTTTTTGTATATATAAAATAAAAAATTATATTTTTTTAAGTTTAAGAATGGGTAAATTGTAAGTTATTTTATTTTATTTTTAATTTAATTATTAGGACTGAATTAATTATTTAAAATGGTAATTAAGGTCTACTTTAAAAAATTGTTTGATAAAATTTAGAGATAATTCCAACATCTATTTATATTTTTGTCTATAAATAGGAAAAAAATCTGAGTTCCCTCTCACAAATATCAAATTGAGGTCAATTTAGAGCTGGAGACGGAGAGATGAGCCAGAGATGGTACGCGCCAAGTTTTCGTTGGCCGGGATTCAGTCTGTCACTGCGTCCGGCGTCATTCAGTTGGCCGGGTTTCCGTTTCTCAAACATCGGCATCGAGTGGAGCTCTCCGAACATCAGGTGGTTTGATTTTTCCATTCTCGATGATCTATTATGGACCTTCATCGCTCTTCTCGAATCCTTAGTTCTCGTTACAATGTTGTCCTGCTTCTTCTTGTGCTGTGGATTTACCCTCTGATTAGCTCAATCACCGATTGAGTATGTTGTATATATTTCCTTAGTTTGTTTGCTTCTATTTCGAAATGTTAGCAATTATATGCTCTGTAGTTTTGAATTTAAATAGTTTATTTGCTCCTGATGATTGCGTTCTTCGTCTTCTCGAATTGACGTCAGGATCCCTAACTAGAAAGCCTGCTTTAATTGAATGCTAATTAAAAGTCTAGGTCTCATCACTGAATCGATTTGAACAGCGTTGAAAACTATTGGAGAATTCTTTTGAATCTCCCATTCCGAGAAGAGAGGCGAATTTTCGTAGGAAATTATCATCATCTTCAGTGTTTTTGTGGTGAATCATTGTGTTCATTCAATTATGACGAGTTTAGCTTCTTTCTTTTGACTCATTTAGCTTGTGGATTAATCATCTTTCCGTTACTCGTGGTAGATGATGATTTGTGAGATCTCCTGTAGTTTTCTCTTTTTGATCTGCTTTTCGTCACAGTGTTTCTGGTAGATGTTCGAGAATTTATAAAAAAAATGTGTCCGACAGTTGGTATGGTTAAATTTATTAGAATTTACTAGTTTAAGATTTTGAATTGATTGATGATTAGATTGATGATTTAACAAGCTATTAGAGTAAGACCTTGTGTGCATAGACTCATAGCCGGATGAGATAGTTTGAGAAACAACCCTAGGGTAAACCGAAGACTTCACAAATGTGTCAAGAGTGCCAGTTTGGGTAGGACATTTGTGTTGTTAGATACTCTTTAGGACTCAAAAAAGTGTGATCTGTTGGCATGTGGTTGAGGGGAGTCTTTCTCGTCAACCAACAAGAACCAAGCTCGCTTGTTGAGAGCTTGAGGATTCGTTGGTGGGAAAGAGATGAACATAAGGTGTACTAGATAGGGTGCTTTTGGAAGAGTTGTTACCATTAGAAGAATAAGGTTAATGGTTGCAAAAGCAGAGAATCCAAGATTAGTGCGATATGCTTCCATCATCAAGTGCAAGTTGCGCAAAAAGAAAGTCTATTTGGGTGGATAATGTGGCTAGGTGAAGAGCCTGTTTGGTTGAGTTGTGTGGATAAAGAGTCTGAGAGAACGAGTTGCTTGTCTCGTGAGGGTGCTCTAGAATGTCTTCCTTCAGCTATTCCACATGCCTTAGAAGTGTTGACTCTTCAACACTTGGACCTTATGACTTAAAAGTGAGTCACCCCATGACACATGTGTCTCAGAATGCGATGAGTATTACAAGACGAGTGTCTTTAGTGTCTTTTTTTGTGAATGAGATTCCAAGGATAATGTTGGATGACATGGGTGTGGCAATGTCACACATCTCCCCATGAGTGGCAGGTTGTGTTATGGGGTTGGGCTTCAATGCTACGTCGTAATGACTTGATCATGAGCATTTAAGAGTTCATGCCTCAATAGTGCTCGAATAGATGAATGTTTGAAAGGTTCTAAATATGAAGTTAACTCATGGATTGATTCGTGATGAGTGTATCCAAGTGAGCAACGAAGGTCGATGACATCCTAATACTTGGAGTGACATCTTGAAGTATAAGTGAGACTTGACAGGTTTCTATTGTCTCTACATTTGATCGTTGTCAAAGGACCCGTTAAATTTCAATGTGCAAAGTCATGCTCCCGGCATACGTTATAATGCCCCAGTAAGTCTTGATAAGTGCTGAAATCCCGTGATAAGCTTGGATTGAGGGTTTTATGACACCATCTTGATTCAACGAAGGGTTTGAACACATGCAGGTGAAGTTATGAATCAATGTACAAGTGTGTGGGCTGTGTTGTTGAGAACGATGGATGAAAAAGAGTCATCAAGAGTGGAATCTAAAATTTTGTTTGGAGAAGAAAATATCTAAAAATAATGACAAGATAACGGTGGGGCCAAAATAATTGATTTGGAACGTATGGAACTCAAGAATTAAAATAGATAGATTTACCTTTATCTGGAACCATGTATTTGAAGGGATTCAAGCAAGAAGCTGCCAGTGATTGGTTGGAGAGGCGAGAGTAGAGGATGTGATTGTTGAGGATTATTGGGAGTGAGTCGGGCTAATTTAAGGAATAATCATGGGTTTATAAGTGAGGAATACTATCTCTATTGGTACGAGGCTTTTTGGAGAATCCCAAAGCAAAACCATTAGAGCTTATACTCAAAGTGGACAATTTCATACCATTGTGGAGAGTCTGATTCCTAACAGTGATAGGGAGGGAGTGGCAACGAGTTCATCGGAATGGTTGTGACTGTGATTGTGGCGTGCATCAGGCACCGCCCATGGGGTGCGGTAGTTTATTGCACTAAAGGTAAAAAGATAAGTCGCTTTTGTAGTTTAGCTATTTTTAAGCCAAACTCCATAGTCCATCTTGAAGGAAAACAAGACTTATAGAAGAAACTCTAGCCGCCCAAAAACATAACCTAGATGATGTCTTGAAGTTGGATATTAACTCCCTAAATCGAAAGGAAAAGAATGTATTTCTTAATTACGTTAAGATTCAAACTCTTCGTTGAAGTTGAAGAGATCTTGAAAACCTACCGAACATAAATGAAGTCGTATTTAAAGTAATTTTGAAATTCGAGCTACATGAATGGACTTAACTACTCTCGTTCTAGAAATTTGAGATTATTTTTTATTTCGTTTAATGGAGTTTCTATTTAAGTTCTGTAATGAAGTTTGAGTTCTTTAATGCAACTTGACCAATCTTAGTCTATTATGTCAGCTAGATATTGATTTAATTTTTAGAAAATCAGTTTTGAATTCAATGTTTAATTTTGTTAAATTGATATGTTGGTTCAAAATGAGTTAGGGCCAAAAATTGATGTGGACTGATGCATCTAATTCTACCTGCAAAATATATCTATGTTTGAGTTATATGCCTTAATTATATTGTAATGATTCAATTTCCAATGCTTCTTTTTAGGTAAACATTATTACTTTCAAATTTTATAGAATTAAAATTTTGGGTAAATTAGTAATAATTTTATAGGTTGAGTGCTTTTATTGTAACAAATTTTTATATCTTAGGAGATGTTTATGCACTTTACAATTGGTTATTGATAATGCTATAATATTAGGGTTTAATTATGACAATTTTATGAGTTTGGGGTGGTTGATTAAACTAAAAATTCATGATTGCAACATTTTCAAGAATTTATGTAAATTTTCCAAACATTATTATTTATTTTATTCATTCATTTAAATGTTAGATGTAATGACAATTATAACACATTTTTTACTACTTTAAAGGATAATTTTAAAACATTTAAAGATATTTTTGAAATTCGAGGATAATTTAATCCCTCCTATTCAAAATAAAAGTTTATCGAGTCATTGACTACATATGCAACAGCTTAAAACGGGTTACAAATTTCGGACTTTTCGACCTTCTCAAACCCGAGATGACATTGAGCTAAAAATTCAACAATTATTGATAATTTCATTCCACAATAATAAGCCCATTTTTGTAGGTTACACATTCCTTTATTTATAGGCAAAGAAGGATGAAGGAGTTATTGCTGAATGCTTGGTTGGTCATGAAATGTCCACAATTTTCTAAAACCAAAAGTGTTCTAATAATATTTTACTTATTTCCTTCCTCCTGGGGTGTTGCGGCACACCGAATAAACACTGCAATGATGAATTTGTTTTTAAAAATGGAAGATGGCAGCTCCGCTTGAGGGCTTGGAAGCAAAGATGAAGTGATCGACTTTGTTCTTGTCGATGATCCCTCTATCGATCCTCGATTTGTAGAACTTATCCTTGTGTGAATCAATCAAATCATATGGGAACAAAGTTAGTTTTAATCTAAGTAAGAAAGAAGACATTTTGTCATATTCAAGTTTACATTTTAATTTTTTTTGGAAAACTAACCTTCAGACTGAGAATGAATTGGGGAACAATGGCCTCTTTTACAAGGGCGACTGCACAGCCTCCCCATCCCGCTCCAGTCAGCCTTGCCCCGAGAGCACCGTTGTCCCGACAGATCTTTACAAGCTCCTCCAATTCGGGACAGCTGGGAAAACAAACAAGATAATAATGAAAACAATGCAAGGATGGGTGTCTGTTTAAAAGAACAACTAATTGAATTGTGAAATGATCTGTACCTGCATTCATAAAGAACGCTACAGCTGTAGTGGCTATCATTCATAAGATCACCAAGTTTCTTAAGCCTCTCTTCCTCACTGCCAAAGGAAAAATTTTCAACATCAAGTTTCTTAAGTCAAAAGCTAATGTTTTGAATTGGTGTTAAATATAAAAGGAACTGACAAAAAAGCTTGACTTAGAATTTTAATTTCTTTCGACGTAATCTATATAATGGAAAAGTTTGTAAATTGGCTTTAAATCTAAAGACCCATCAGTCATGTTACTTTTTTTTAAAAAAAAGAATAATGTAAAAGTAGTGAGAACATTAAAAGGCTGTTGATAATTCTACAAACCATCACCTTACACTTGACGAAACTGCATCCTTGAAAGCATAGACCCGCTTGGCTTCAGAGTACACGTGCGACGCTCGCTAAAAACAACCACCATAGCGTGTGTGAGAGAGAGTTAAAACATGGGACCATAGATATGAATAAGCATGACTACCCTACCTAGAGAAAGAGAGTTAAAAACATGGAACCATAGAAGATGAATAAGCATGCCTACCCTAGCTAGAGAGAGAGAGAGAGAGAGAATTGAATCATGGGACCATAGAGATTAAAAAAAAAAGCTTGCCAGACATAGTTTGAAATGGAAGTAACAGAAGCAATGTTAGACGGAACATGCAAGTTGCACAGCAATTCCAAACATAATATATACCTGATACAACTTGAAATGCTTAGCAGCTTTTAGAACATCCAATGAAGTTGGAGAATTGCCTAAAACGGAAGGCAGATTGTCCACAGTGATTTGTTCAATATCTTCAGCTGTATATGGTTCCTCCTTCAACAGTTCCTTTAGCATAGAGAGAGAGGACAGAGCAATAAGAGAATATGTTGATAACTTGATGAAGATATGAACGAGTGTTCATCAGCTCATAACATTAACCCTGGGAATAAGAATGACTGCATCATTCCCATGCGGGTATGGCACTTCGGCATGAGGTATCCATAAAACCACATCTCTAAAAGGTTTGTTAAATTATTTCCCATGGTTGTCACACAGGAGCATTCATAATGATATTACAAAATCATAAAATAAACTAAAAGCGGGATTGAAAAATTTTATGAAATTTTTTAGAAGATTGGATTATACAACCTCTACATCCCCCGAATGTAATTAACATCTCCATCACACTAACAAATCTCTTTGTGTTTGTGGTGCAAAATGTCAACAGAAAATACCTTGACTGCAAGCACAGGATCTGAAGAATTACGCTCATTAGCAAATGAAATACACAGCCCTTCCACATCAGATAAAGTTTTCACTTGTGCTATTGCATCTTGTGGTTTCATCCCAACCTTTATGCCTAGAACAATCTGAAGAAGCATCTGGAATCGTTATTTGGATAAATCTAAATCGGAAGTGAGAAAAATAGACACCAAATTCTGAACGGTAGTCAGAAGATGGAGAAGAGAAATAATGAATACCTCAAGAATAGGCTACACTATAGTTATCAATTCTTTAGAAGTTGGAATTTCAAAAGAAGATTCATTGATCATATTGTAAGGAACCAAATAATCATATAACTCAAATAGATGAAAATTCATCGTGTTCAGAAGAAAGTAAAACTTACAGCAGCAAGTCGGCATTCCACAACTCTGTTATTATAATTTTTGGCAGCAGTTACTGCTTTCTGTGATTCGGCTAGAGAATGGGCTATAACAAAAGTCCCACCAGCAGGAAGTCGCACATCAGTAGCACGAATAGGATTGAAATCAATCAGCTCCGCAAACCCAGATTTGGCCATGACAGAGATTGCCTGCCAGGATAATTGGATAGCGTTTACAATCCTAGGAAAACATTTGAAGCTAGAACGAAATTCCCATATTGATCATTACATAGATTTGAAACGTCGCCATAGATCACTTTCTAAGTAATTCAACAAATAGATTTATCTACACCACTAGTATTTCAATTAAGCGATTGTAATCAGAATCTACCTGTGGCCTTTGCAATAAAGTAACATAAAACAAAACCCATCAATAGCACAAGCCATTCAATTATTCCCCTAAACAAATTATTCACGGATCACGAAAGTATACTTGGAAGACAAAAAGAAAAAAAAAGTGTTTAGATAATCCTTTTTTGTTTTGTTTCTCCATGTTAAGTCTGTCAATTGCGAAGTAGACAATTATTTTTAATACCTGATCCATTCCACCAGATTGTGTACCAATGTGCCGCTCACATTCACACGTAAGTTGGGCGAGTTCTTTCTGTAGCCACAAGCAAATTTTCGTTAGATTACTTAGATTTAACATAACTAAAAGTCAAATAATTGAGCTAATTACTTGATGTGGCAACAACCAACTTCAAATAACCAAATCAAGCAAGTTGAATCACACTACGTAAGTGTACTAAAGTAGCATTTGGTAAGCAGTATATGGGCAAATTCTTGTTCATTTAACCCAAACACGCACACACACACACACAATGACAATACAATCTAAGTCTGTCAATGCACCCCAAAATTCCTTAATAATGTTACTACAGTAAAATAGATTTAGTTTATTGGCGCCAACAATTCACCTTATAAGTTCAAGTATCGAGCAATCAAGTCACTTCACTGGAATTGGATCCAGAGATCTCCCATGAGATATTGTCTCTTACTTCAAGTTCATGTACTAATATCAAATGAATTCATGCAAGAAGACATCTACTACATTAAAAACTGTGACCTTTCTTTAAGATGGAGTAACTGTTGGTATCACAAGTAGTACACAATGCAAATTTATGTAGGTTCAAAGTCCAATGACTTATAACAAGCAAACAGGGTACCTCCCTTGATCTGTGGGCCAAATCTGAGATACTAATAACAATCAATCATTGGGGAATATCACTGCCGACCAGGAAATATGAGTTGGGGCACCATAGAACAATTTACAAACTCAATATATGTAAATTATCAAGTCAACATCCAAGTCAGTCTTAGGCCCCACAGTAATCAAAAGCATGAGGGAAAGGTGTTACACCTTGGGAAAGTTATCACCAAAAACAGCCATTATAGCAATGGTAGCAGAGCAAACAAATGCAGCAGAGCTTGATAATCCAGATCCTGAACGAAAATAATGATTCTAATATTACCTTCATGTGACAAATTTTTGCTACAACAAGTGTCGACATCTGTTGTTTTTATTAACAAAATCTAACCTCCAAGGATAAAATAGCAAGCAAACTTCTATTACTGTAACTAACAGCCCATCATTGTCATTTTGTTTGAAAGAGTATACAAAACAAAACCTGTAGGCACTGTTCCATCAACAAGAACGTCAAGTCCAACTGGCTTGCCAACATCTTTTCCTTTTGATTTAGCAAATTCGTAATAGCCTTTGTACCTGAAACTCAAAGACCTTTAGATTCTGCAGGATAGGTAACTGATCAGTGTTCATTAATAAGTTCGTATAGAAAACAATTTTTTAAGAAAAAAAGCTTGATCATACACGTCTTATGCTAAGATCATTACATTTTTAACATCATAATTAGATCATTCCAGTTAAAATTAACGTTCAACACTGTCTTGAAAAATATTGATTAGGATAAAAATAAAACCTATGAACATAAATATCCTGTATTCATACTATATATAAACCAGTTGCGTACATAATGACAACCACATCCCATAAAATAAAATCGGAAATGAAAATTTGTCTACTCACCCGCAAAGGAAATAGTGTCCCCATTTGTGATCCTTCAAATCTACTTCCTATAAGTGAACAAGAGGAAATGATAAACGTATTGTAATTTCTGTGTGAATATCTTGCAAGAACGACCGCATCATAGTTTCTTTTTTTTTTTTTTTTTTTTTTTTTTTTTTTTTTTTTTTTTTTTTTTTTTTTTTTTTTTTTTTTTTTTTTTTTTTTTTTTTTTTTTTTTTTTTTTTTTTTTTTTTTTTTTTTTTTTTTTTTTTTTTTTTTTTTTTTTTTTTTTTTTTTTTTTTTTTTTTTTTTTTTTTTTTTTTTTTCATAAAAATACATTTATATCAACAGTATAATACAGTTACATATTTTCAAGACACTGTAACTCCAATTCTAACAAGAGTTCGAACATGATACGAAATAAACACATCCACAAAAATATAATAAAAGTCAAATAAAAGAAAATTTAAGTTTATACCACTCAGTAAGAACAAAAAACAAACTCTATGGCCAACACATCCACAAATCAACAATTGCAACGTCGAAGCATAAGATATCTATATGAACACTACGCTGCAACGATTCAATATGCAGGATGAAAGTAGGACGAAAAGTGACTGGCAGAAAGAAAAGATTTCGAGTGAAATTTTACGGACCAATTTAGCTCATACCTGATGAGGATCAGCAGGATAGGTACACATCGAGTATTTATCATTAACATTAGCAATTCTCAGAAGATGCTCCGCCTCTCCAGCGTCGTGCTTCCGAATTGCAACGATCGTATCTGGCCGAATCGCCATAGGCAACACAGAATATCCTTCATAGTCAATGTGCTCCCCGATCAAGTTCACTCTCCCTACACTCTCCATCGTTCATCCAAAACCGAAATTACAACAATAATCTAATCAACAATCAATCAAAAACACTATTATCAGGACATAGAAGCCAAATGAAGACAGGAAACACAAAAGTACCTGGAGAACGAGCAAAGACACCGGGAGGATGGCCGAAAACTTGGAGAAACTTAGCCTTGAGATTATCAAATCGAAGGCGAGCTTCCTCAAGCTGAGTTCCATCGCCATAGACCGGGACAAGAGAAGAGAAAACAGGAATCGGAAGGTCCTCATGCTTCGCCATTACTCCTCTTCGTCTTCTTCCTCGTAGTCCTAATTTCCATGCAGAAATCAAACATAGTCAAAAGAAATGGCGAAGTAAGATCTAAACACAGTCCAAATTTGCAAGAAACAAAGAATCAAACTCATACAGTAGCTTCTCCGATTGCGAGTTCCGGCTAAATCTTCGTAGAATCCTCAAATGGATCAACAACAAAGAGCAAGAAGTAGGTGAAAACCAAGTATTCTATAAATATCGAGAGAAAAAGCCTAAGATCAGAGCGTCAGTATAATTTTGTTTTCTTCCGAATGTTTAGATCATTAAGTAAAAAGTTCATTTGATTTGATTGACACAACGCACGGGAGGGGCACGTGTCGTGACGCTAAAACGCCACGTCATCTAAGATTAATAAAAGAAGATTTTACATTTTTATTTATTTTTTATGCTTAGGAAAATAAGGAATCGAATTTTTATTATTGCATAAAAGTCGTTCACTTGGGTCCGAAAACGCCAAAAATCTCCAAAGGGCAAATTGGTAAAAGACTCCATTTTTTTTTTTTTTTTTTTGACATGTAATTCTTTTATTAAATGCCCAAGTTTTCAAAAATTGCCCACAATGTTTATTTTTTATTTTATTTTAATTTTTCTGAAATTGGCAAAAGAATATGAATATGGCTGTCCTTTTTAACACGGGAAGGATTCCTAAATAAGTATATATTCACAATATTGGAAATCATATTCATAACTATATAGTAAATTATACAATAAGATTCTCGGAACCATTCACGTGCCATGTTATGAGTATGTCGCATTATATTCTTATAATGTAATCGAGGAGTATCAAATATGCTACAATTATTACCTAACCTATAGTTTTATATACTTATAATAAAATATGTCAAATACACGTATATAATAGTGTATACATGAAAATCTAAGTCAATTAAATTTATGTGTAACAACCTAAACTCACCGCTAGCAGATATTTTCCTTTCTAGGTTTCTCTTTCGGGCTTCTCCTAAAAGTTTTAAAGCAAGTCTACTAAGGCTAGGTTTTCACACCCTTATAAAAAAATGTTTCGTTTCTCTCTCCAACCGACGTGAGATCTCCCAATCCACTTCTTCTCCAGGGTCCAACGTCCTCGCTGACACTTGTTTCCCTCTCCAATCGACAAGCAAGATAGATCATGTCCAGTCCAGCTTGAGTGATTTTAAGCATAAAATTGTAAAGAAACTTGATTGGATATTCTTATCGAGGTCCATAACTTAATAATCACTGGTTTTAGCTTCTCGATGAACCCTCACATATTCTCGTACCATTTTTTTTTATCGTAAATCTTCTTCTTCACAAAACTATCGGTACATATTTTTTCAGCTCAATATAAAGTGGAAGTGGAGATTCGAACTCATACCTTTCAATCAATGTTATAATATTTTAATTATTTGAACTATATTCAAGTTGAAACTCGATGACTTGATGATAGTATACTCTTTCTCACGTAATTCTCTTGCTCGATCATCCTTAATTTCTACAAATTTTGAATCAAACTAACTGTTAATTAATCTAAGATAAACCAAACTACCGAACCAAACCAAAACGCTAATCAAAATGGTTTCATGTCTGTCAAACAATATTTCATTTCACATTATTTTAAGAAAATTACCAATATAATATATATATATATACACACTTTAGGATCATGCTTTGAAATTTAATTGTCAAAAGAAGATATAAAATATTATAAAGAATATTAATTGCATCTTTATTACCCTAATATAAAAGAGAGCAATTTGTATCCATTACTTAAAAGTATAAAACTATATATATTTAAAAATTAAGTTGACTATATTATGATCCTTTCATTAAAAGTATTTTAGTCTAAATAAAAGCAAAACAATATCATTAATATACGTTATACTAATATAATGGAATTTCATCAAATGTGAACAAATCTTTGGTGTAAAATCTTTTCCGAGTCTTGAAAAAGTCAAAGTCTCAAGTCTTCGAATCCGTGCTTTTTCGAAGAGTCCTACACCCATAGACAAATGACCTGCCTTTTTGCTAGAGTTTCATGGGCGTTTCCCTGTTTTCTAATCAGATGTTTGGACGAGAGTTATGCTCTGCGAGGAGCCAAGCAGGTGTATGGTCTTACCATTTGACCTCTCTTCCCGTGTGACTAGGAGTGCTCAGTGGAGTTTCATGAGCGTTGCTCTGTTTCCTAATCATATGTTTGGATGAGAGCTGTACCCTGCAAGGAGCCAAGTGGGCGTATGGTCTTACCATTTGACCTCTCTTCTCGTGTGACTAGGAGTGCTCAGTGGAGTTTCATGAGCGTTGCTCTCTTTCCTAATCATATGTTTGGATGAGAGCTATACTCTGCAAGGAGCTAAGTGGGCGTATGGTGTTACCATTTGACCTCTTTTCCCAACGCTCAGTGACATAACCTCTCAGCTAAATCTTTTATGGATTTACTTATTAATTTTAGCTTTTTACAAGCTTATTTTATATATAATTGTTCGGTTTCTTAACATCCCAATGTGACGAAAAACCTTAAACCCTAATTCTAAAGAGATGGACGATGAAAGTATTGAGCTAAAACCGACCAAGTTCATAATAAACAAAGAATATAATACTCATAGAGAAAGCGTTTCGTACTCGTGGGATTATAATCTGCTAAAAAAACAAAGGAAAATGGCTGATCTGAATTTCTAAACATACCAAAAGAGAATTTTTCATCCATTTTGTTCATCTTTTGGTTCCTTCCTCACTTGCAATGGCACCAAGTCCTGCAGAAGCCCATTGTCCTGAAGCAAGGAAGCTCGAGACGACAACGATGGCGGTGGAAGGGAAGACGGAGGAGGACGAGGACTCAAGAACGACGAGTCGTTTGTTAGAAACGGTTGCGGAGGGTTATACATGAAGGGTTGGCCGGGAATGTTGTGTTGGAATAGAATTCCGGTGGTGGCAACGTCGTGATCGGCAACGAGGCAATTGGTGGATTCCGATAGGATTCGAATGCTTCCCCGTGGCATTACCGGACTTTGGTGGGTGTGTTGGCCTTCGTACGTTGTGATGACGATTGAATGGTCGCTTGATGATCGTTCCACCCTCTTCTTCACACCGCATTGTGACGTCGTGCAACGATAATAGCTTCTATATTATAAACAACATAACACCGCCTTTTAAATTTAAATTCAAAGTAAACGATATTATATCATTGTAAAAATATACGAAAAAGACAAACCTAGGATAAGGACTGTTCTTCACGGCCTTTTGACCGTACTTCCGCCACCGGTAACCGTCGTCGAGATGATCGATATCACTCTTTGTCATAAAAGCAAATCTCGGTTCTCTTTGCTTCTTCTGGTTCTTCTTTGGCTTCAACCTAAAACAAAAACAGTAAAAAAAAAAAAAATAATAATAATAATAAATTAATTAATTAAAAATAAATAAAAATCTCCACTTTTTTCATCTCTTTTTGAAAAAAAAAAAAAAATTATGAAGCTCAAAATTAGTCAACTAAATCAAATCAACAAAACCCCATTAATTACATCCATAATTTCCTCATTATAATCAACAAATTCTTAAAAAATATGAACAATATGATGTAAATTCGGAACTTAGATCTAAAACAGATAGTATTATATGATCGTGAAAATCAGATTGAGACCAGTAACAATGATCTCTTACACTTTGGAAGTCTTGGCGTTCTTGTCAACCTCTTCGATAGGAGCAGCTTCATTGGAGGAGGAATTAGAAACGGAGGAAGAATTAGGCGTCGTTGGAGCATTAAGCACCTCGGAGGACTCCGGGACGGTGGAGGACGGCGAGGAAAGCGGCGGCTGAAGGGGCGGAGCGGTAGTAGAAAGCAAATCGAACATAGAAGAAGGATTATAGAAATCATGGAATCCAATCCCACCACCAAACAAGTCAAAAGAAGAAGAAGAAGAACAAGAAGCTTTATGATCATCATCACATGGCAGGTCGAACACACCGGAAAAACCCGAACCACCCACCGAAAACTCGTCGGAAAACACCGTTTGAGAGTAAATTCCGGTAGAAGTAGCCGACCCCATCAACGAGTCTTCAAATTTTTTCTCCATTTTGGATCGATCGAAGTTTTTTTTTTTTTTTTTTTTTTTTTTTTTTTTTTTTAAGACATAATAATAATAATAATCATATTCTTCGTGGAAGAATGATAGAGGAAAAGTAGAGTGTTTGGATTTGTGGGATTTTGGAGAACAGCTTGGGGTGTAAGTTTTCCCACCTAGGATGGTGACCTACAGGTGCCGGTAAACGATGGGCATGGAAACAAGATCGGTGTTCGCAATAAATGACAGACCACCACTGAAAAAGGAGACTTCCGAAACGCGTAGTTTTGACCGGTTAACCGGTTCCAGTGTAAACTAGATTCTATTGGCCGTGTACACGTATGCAAAAAAAATAATTTTTTTAATAATATTATTCTTACGTGTATGAGTATATATTTTTTAATAAATTAAAATTTTAATCATGTCATTTGAAAAATTTTAAAATTTAATCCTTAAAAATAATTTTATTCACGGTCATTTTATCAAATTATAGATATTATTTATGAGATTTTATTAAATTATGAGGGTAAAATTGTAATTTCAAAAGCCTATAAAATTATTTTTTTTAAACCAAATTTACAGTTTTTTTAAAACACATGCATAAATTATTTGTGTATGAATTACGCTATAAAAATAATTAAATTAATATCAGTTTAATTAATATTCTAATGATTTAGAAATTTTTTAATATTTATCCCACATTTTCTTTAATCGAGTTTAAATATTAAAAAAAATAAATAGGGAAATGTATGGTAATTAATGAAGTGTAATAACTATATTCTTTACTCAACCTAAAAATGCTTCCCCGTAGAATAAGCTTTCTAAATAATGTATTTATTCCTTAATTAAAACAATTAATTAAGCTCTTTAACGTAAATAAGCAAACGATAATATGGAATCAATAATTTTTATTTTTATTTTCAATTTTTATGAACCACAAGTAAAATTGGAATTTGAGAGTTGTGTCAAATTACACTTCTTTAATAAACTTTTATTGTTATCATCGAAACATAAATAATGGGTGCATTTTAAATTTTTTTTATAAATTCAAAAATATTTATAATTGAAATATTTTCAGATATATTATAGAAATACTCCTGAATTTTTCATTTATTTCTACACTTTTTTAAATATTTATTAACATTAATATATTTTCATAAATATATGACCATTTTTTAATTAGAAAAAAAAAACATTTCTTAGTTAT